GTGCTTTCTCCTGGGCCCTGCTACCTCCCTCCCATCCCTGACCCATGACCCATTCTCTAAGCCCCCTCCTTTCCATCCCAGCCCCCACAGTCTCCGAAACAGGTAGGGACCACAGAAAGAAGACAGAAGACAAATTCTGGGTCCTTAACCTGTTGCTGGTTTAAACAAGATGTGCTCCCTTCCTCCTCGCTCCTTGCTGCCCTCGACAGCACTCAGAAAGCAAGGGTACTTACAAAGTATGAGCCCCTACGACCAACTTTCCGCCAACTCTACTGAGGATAACACTCTTGACCTGGGGTTATGGTAACAATTGCCTTGGTTACTTTGCAGAAACTTGAGCCAGGTTTACCGGCCTATTTCTGTATTCCCAGCACTCGGGAATCTGAGGCAGTAGTATTGCCAAGAGTTCAAGACCAGCTTAGAATATACAGTATAACCCTGTCTCAACAAACAAACAAACAAACAAAAACAAGCCCCGAAATATATTGAAGGCCGCTCTTGCACACAGCAAACATGGACTCTTACCTGGACGCTGTAAATAACTGATAGATGACTGGGGACCGGGTAAAAGCCTTGGCATCTCTGTCCTTATGTGACCCCTTCCTGTCTCAAACCTTCAAAGAGATTACCGACTCAACTCTGAATGTTGATACATTGTTCCTTCAACAACAGGGTATTCAAGACTATAATACAGGATGAACTTGGCCAGTGGTTCGTTGGAGTGGGTATCTGTTTCTTTTAGCCGGCCCCATTTTCCTGAAAGCTCTAAAAGTCCTCTAGCCCTGTCATGAACCCAGGACATCTATACAAGTTGACCCCAGCAGCTCCTGCACAGAGCCGACCATGTATTAGCTTACTAATGTCCAAGCCAGGTTGCTAGTGTACAAAAATGAGAAACAGTAGGAGAGATGGCATAAAGCAGTAACTAGACACAAAATCCCTATGACCCCCTGTGAGTTTGAGGCCAGCCTGGTCTACAAAGTGAGTTCCAGGACAACCAAGGCTACACAGAGAAACCTTGTCTCAAAAAACCAATAAATAGATGACTATGACATTGACTCCCAGTCCTATTGCCTCCACCTTCCAAATGCTGGGATCCTGACTCAAAAGAACAGCTTTCAAATCAAAACCCATGACTGATGAGCAGTTAACAAACCCTAGCCCATGCGTCTCTCCTGGCCAAAAAGTCAATGAAACTCTGACACCCTTTGTGTTGAGTGAGCGATTTGGTGTCCTGAAGTCTGGGCTGGCTCCATTCAGTTTCAGATGGCTGTTTCGTGGTCTGCATCACGGAACTTGGCCACACTTGTTCATAGTATGCAGCTTGGTCCTGTTCCTACCTCTTGAAACAAGAGCTCGCTGCCTGGCATCAGTGCCTTCCTTTGCCCCCCCCCCATGTAGTAGAGAACCCGAGGCATGTCTCCTCTGCCTGTAACCCCCATGATTCCTTGTTGCTTCTGGTTGGAGCACAGACCAAATCCTGGGGCTATACAGTCAAGCCCTATGCAACCCCCCCCATCCTATGTCCTCAGTTCCTGGCCTCGAACTCATGGCATCTGCCTGCCTCTGCCTCCCCAGAGCTGGGATTAAAGGCGTGCACCACCACCGCCCAGCTTGTCCTCAGTTCTTAATCTGCACCATTGCCCTGTGGATTTTCCTTCCTTTTTTTTTTTTTTTTTTTTTTTTTTTTTTTTGAGATAAGATTTCTCTGTGTAGCCCTGGCTGTCCTGGAACTTGCTCTGTACCTCAGACTCAGAGATCCTCCTGCCTCTGCCTCTAAAGAACAGGGATTAAAGCCACACACCACTGTAGTTTTCTTTTTGTTTGTTTGTGTGTGTGTGTTTTAATATTAACTCTTTGCTCTTTACTCTTTGGGGTCTACCAACCAGCTCCTGGCCTTAGCTTGTCTTATTTCTTTTTTAAAAGAAGATTGTATTTATTTATTATGTATACAACATTCTGCTTCCATGTATATCTGCACACCAGAAGAGGGCACCAGATCTCATCACGGATGGTTGTGAGCCACCATGTGGTTGCTGGGAATTGAACTCAGGACCTCTGGAAGAGCAGTCAGTGCTCTTAACCTCTGAGCCACCTCTCCAGACCCGCTTGGCTTATTTCTAGCCAGCCTTTCTTAACTTAAATTATCCTGTCTAGCCTTTGCCTCTGGGCTTTTACCTTTCTCTATTCTGCATACCCCTCTTTCCTTCTTACTCTGTGACTTGCTGTGTATCTGGGTGGCTGGCTCCTGATGTTCTCCCCTCTGTCTCCTTTTTCTTGCTCCTTCTTGACCATCTCTCTTTTTTCCTTCTATTTACTCTCTCTGCCTGGCAGCCCCATGTGGTGATATTTTGTTTGTGATCTAACAAATAAAGCTAACCTGAAGATCAGAGTCCAAAACTAGCCACACTAATTAGATACAGAGGCCAGGCGGTAGTGGTGCTCACCTTTAATACCAGGACTCGGGAGACAGTGGCAGATGGATCCCTGTTAGTTCAAGGCCACCTTGGGCTACACGAAATTGATCCAGTCTAAAAGAGAAACAGAGCTCACACAAAGGTGATCCCAGCCCTTGGAGTCACATGTCTTTAATCCCAGCACTAAGGAGGTGGAGACAGGAGTGACATGGCTGGTTGGAGAGAGGAATAGAAGGCGGGAGGAGACAGGAGCTCAGGGCAGTCTAGGCAGTTAGTCTGAGGATTCATGGAGCTAGGATTACCCATTTGGTCTGACGTAGAGGTAGTGGCCGGCTGCTTTGCTTCTTTGATCTTTCAGCTTCCTCCCCTTCAATATCTGACTCCGGTTTCTATTACTAAGAACAGTTAGAATTTGTGCTACAGCCCCGCCTATCCTTTCTACTGATTAGCTATTGGCTGTGCAGCTCTTTATTAGACCAATCAGGTGTTTATGACAGGCAAAGTAACACCGCTTCACAGAGTTAAACGCAACATAAAAGAATGCAACACATATCTTTACATCATTAAACAAATGTTCCACAGCATAAACAAACCACTACTGCCTAGCTCTTTTCTATCTTTGTAACTTTTATTATTATTTACAGTGCTGGAGATGGAATTCAAGTTTTTGTTAAGCATGTACTCTACCATTGAGTCATGCCCCAGTGCCTCAGTGGGAGATTCTTGACAAGTGCTCTACCAATGATCTATGTCCTCAGCTCTTGTTTTTGTTTTTGCGATAGAGTATCTCTGATGGGAGAGGTCCTTCTGTGTATGTTTATCTTATTGGTTGTTGAATAAAGCACTGTTCGGACAATGAGGCAGAAAGATAGGTGGGGCTAGGAGTTGAGGAGGGTTCTGGGAAATGTAGTAAAGAAGTCTTGTGATCCAGGCAGGAAGTGACATAGCAGGAAGACTCAGAATATAAGCAGGGACAAGCGGGAAATCATCCGCTTCCTCCTGCTATCTTCTCTGGAGCCGCCATGTGAGCCCAACAAGAGAGGATGCACGCTGCTGGCATCCTCGATTAGATAAGTCTTTATAAATACATAGATTATGGCTATGGTTGATACTTAAGACAGAGCAAACATATAAGAAATGCTAATTGCGGGGCATTGGTGGCGCATGCCTTTAATCCCAGTACTCGGGAGGCAGAGACAAGCGGATCTCTGTGAGTTCGAGGCCAGCCTGGTCTCCAAAGTGAGTGCCAGAATAGACTCCAAAGCTACACAGAGAAACCCTGTCTCGAAAAACCAAAAAAAAAAAAAAATAATAAAGAAAGAAATCCTAATCATTGGCCAGCAACATTGTAAAATATTAAGTCTCTGTGTGTTATTTTGGGGGTCCTATCATTGCGGCGGAACTCAGGCGGATGGCGTAAAGACTTATGGTTACGAAATGGAAAAGACTTATGGTTACATATCTCTATGTAATCCATTCTAGCTTTAAACCTGTCATACTGCTGCCTGTGCTTCTGTGGTAGTTTGAATGTCATTGGTCCCCGTAATCTCATAGGGAGTGGCACTAACAGGAACTGTGCCTTTATTGGAGTGGGTGTGGCCTTGTTGGAGGAAGTGTGTCACTGTAGGGGCGGGCTTTGAGGTTTCCTATGCTCAGGATACCACCCAGTGTCTCAGTCGACTTCCTGTTTCCTGGAAGATGCAGGACTCTCAGCCCCAGCACTGTACCTGCCTGCATGCCGCCATGTCCCCATCGTGATGACAATGAACGGAACCTCCCAAACTGTAAGTGAGCCTCCGCAATTAAACGTTTTATTTATGAGAATTGCTGTGGTCATGGTGTCTCTTCACAGCAATGGAAAACCCAAACTAAGACAGCTTCCTAGTGCCACTCTTATTTTGAGACAGCATCCCTCACTGGGACCTGTGACTCACTAATCGGGCCAGGCTGGCCAACCAGTATCTGCTTGCCTTAGCCTGTGCCACTGCACTATGATTTGGAGTTTTATATGGGTGCTGGAGAGTCAACTCAGGTCACCATGTTTTTGTGCATCAGACATTTTACTGGCAGAGACTTTTCTCCAGCCTGCTCATCGATGTTTATTAACTGAAGGGCTGGTCCACCCGTCCTGGGCACATGGCCTTGGCTCAGGCTTTAGTCTAGTCATCAGTGCGCACTCTTCAGCTGTGTTATTTATTGAACATCCTCTGAGATGGAAAGAATTCTTGAATAGATCCCTGACCAATGATGGACAGATGACCGCAAGTCATTATTACCCTGGGTCGTCGAAAGACACAACATTCTCTCTCCTCCTCCTCCTTCTCCTCCTCTCACTGGCTTGGAACTCATGATCCTACTGATCCTACTGCCCCACCTTCCCAAATGCGGGGATGACAGGAATGTGCCACCGCATGGGACTAAAGATGTCTTGAGTTTCAAACATGTCCCACCTACCCAAGCTCTGTTGACCAAGGCCAATATCAGCCCTTCCCCAAGTAGGCAGCTTCAGGGAGGTAGAGGCAGAGGCAGAGTCTTGGGACCTTTATTGAGCACGTGGCTCCTAACGGCGCTGGTGGACAGTCCTTAGACCTTCCTTCCCAGCAGCCTCCGCCACAATTCTTGGCTGAGCAGCGCTTGTTCTCTGCGGGCACCCTGCAGCACGCTCCGGTTCTCCTGGGCTCTCCGAATCAGGTAGGGGATCACCTCCTCCAGGCAGCCATAGGGGATAGACTTATATACCACATATCCAGCCTGTCCTGTTGGGAAAAGTTTTGACAGAGTGTGGACTCAGAGAGAGAGAGAGAGAGAGAGAGAGAGAGAGAGAGAGAGAGATGCTCCCAGGCATCAGCTAAGGCAAATGCTACTTCCCTTGCTCAGAACATGGCAGACTGGGAGAGTCTGCCATGCAGTAATTCATTACTAAAAACACTTAAACATTTAGAAGAAACATTTTTTTCTCTTCTCCCTCTGTCCATCCCTCCCCTCTTTCTTTCTTTCTGATTGGTTGTCATGAGATTGGCTTTTATTGTGTAGCCCAGGCTCAATTTCAACCCCCAATCCTTCTGCCTCAGCCTCCTGAATGCTGGCTGGAATTACAGGCTTGCACCACTACACATGGCAACAAACAAACAAACAAACAAACCCCCAAAAAATCCTCACCTCAGTTTATTAAGATATTGCTAAGAGAGCAAGAACTTTACTGATTCAAGAATTAAGCAAGTAAAGGTTAGAGAAACTGGGATTCAGGAAGCCACTCCTCCTCTGAAGGAGAAATCCGATAACTGTTGGATAACCTAGCATGTTATGTGATTACGTAGGAGCCTGACTGGGCTGAGTGTTATAAGGACCCCACCCCATATTAAGCTAGAACTCAGAAAAACTGTACCTTCTGAGGGAGATCCTGTCTCAAAAACAAAAACAGGTAAAAACAAAACAAACAAACAAACAAAAAAACAGGAAACACTGGAAGTGTGGCTCGAGAACAAAGTCTCTGGGTTGTAGCGTGTGTGTTTGTGTGTCTGTGCGCGTGTATGGCCAGAGGACAACCTGTGGGGATTGCTCCTCTCTGTTTTACCTTTCTCGAGAAGGGACTCTTTACACTGCATAAAACCAGACTAGCCAGCCACAAACTTCTGGGGAGCTTCCTGCCTCTATCTACCTCCCATTCCCAGAGACATTCTAGGATGACAGACATTTGCACTACTGTCTGGCTTTGGCATGGGTTCCGGGGATTCGAACTCAGGTCTTCAGGCTTGTGCGCTAGGTGCTCTACCCTCTGAGCCATCTTCCCAGTGGTAAAGTGCCTTTGTCACCCTCAATACCCCACGGAAGGAAAGGAGCAGCCAGGACTCCGAACAACAGGAAATATGGCACCATAAACAAGAACCAGCACAGGCCAGAAAAGGAGGCACAGAGCCCAGCCCTCGAGGACACCAAAGATGTCCGGAAGGAACCAGATGATGAACCAGCTGCAGCTTCCATGTGTGAGGGGCCAGATAATGGTTGCAAACAGTAGAAGGGATCTGGGTGAGAGGGAACGAGGGGCTGGGGGTGGGGATGCAGGGATGGGCCGTTCACATACCTAGTGCCAGGGAGACGTGGTCACACATGCCCAGAAGTTGTCCAAAACAGACCGGCCCGTCTGGAGGAATGCCCAGCTCCCACATGCTGCAGAAGGGAGGGGGGTCACACTGTCAATCCAGACAGGCAGTGGCTAGATCTAGAGAGCGAGTCAGCCACCCCAGAGTTCAAAGGTTGGCCAGCTGGATCTACTGTTCCACACCCACAGATTCAGCCAGGGATCAAATACGAGGGTAAATCAGGCCGCTCTGTGCTAAACACCTGCACAGGTGTCCCCCTTAGACTGTGCTTGACAGTGCAGTTATCCATGTGCTTTTACATCCACTAGTCTAGGTGTTATCAATAAGATCGACGACTTCAAGCGTAAAGGAGGGTGTTCACAGTGGTATGCGAATGTTCAAATAGTACGTCATCCCATAGGAGGGGTTTGAGCATCTGGAGATTTTGGTTTCCATGGAGATTGGTCCCAGAACACGTTTTCCACAGATTCTGAGGAACGACTCTATCCCCAAACTCAATGGTAAATAACCACTGCAGGGCTGGAGAGATGGTCCAGTTGTTCAAAGCACTGACTGCTCTCCCAGAGGACCTGAGTTGGACTCACAGCACCTATGTGGCAACTAAAAAAATACTGTATCTCCAGTTCCAGGGGCTCTAATGCCCTCTTCTGGCCTCTGCAGGCACGAGGCATACACATGGTGCACACATTATACATGCAGGCAAAATGCCCAAATGCTAACATTTTAAAAATAAAATAAAATTTAATAAAGAGCTCTTGTTTTTGCAGAGAACCCCAGTTCAGTTCCCAGTACCCAAATCAGGCCGCTCACAAATGCCTGCAACTCCAGTTCCAGGGAGTCTGATGCCCTCTTCTGGCCTCCTCTGGTACTTGCTTGCATTCATGGGTGCACACATACACACACATACGAAAATCAAATCAAAACAATCAATAAATAACAATTCTCATGAGCTCTCTTGAGACTTCCAACCATCGGATCTCAGATGCTCCCGGGAGTCCTCAGTCCTCCCTTGGTGTCAGTAAATACGGGACAATGCCCTGTCACATCTGAGCCGATGGGACATACATAAGCATAGAGGGGGTTGATTTTTTTAAGATTCTTATTATGCAACCCAGGTTGGCATCAGTTCTGATCCTCCTGCCTCAGTCTTCTGAGGACAACAGGTGTCTATCATCATGCCAGGTTGGAATTCAGTTTTTCTAATGTCCACTCGTCTCTGTCTCCCACAGCACCCGGCTCCCATCACTGTCCTGTAGGCACAGGAAGGGATGGGCTGCCTAGGGGCGCCAGTTCCCCGCCCCTCAACCTCATACCGCTTAGTTGCCTGGAGAACGGATTCTTCATTGTGGGAAGCCACCATGAGGTGGCACAGGGGACCATGACGGGACACTCGGCGCAGCATCAGCTCCAGGCAGCGGCTGTAACTGAAGGGAGAGGCTCTGCTCAGCCTCTCTGAGCAGAGGCCCAAGTCCACCGGACGGGACTCCGGGCCTCCTTTGTTCTTTGGGCATGAGCTCCTTGGAGCCGTTTCCCTCTCTTGTAACAGGGTGAGTTCCCTTAACAGCAGTCAGGATGCAGGTGGGGTCAAAGCAGGGTTTTGATTCGTTCTGACACGGGGTCCTATAATTCATGGCCCTCCTGCCTCAGCCTCTCATGGACAAGGATGGCGAGCATGTGCATCTAAAAGTTTCTGACCCGATGATTTTCTCACAGCAAAACCATGTCCGGGATCAAGACGGCATTTATCCAGGATCCAGGATTAGTCACCGCAGCATGGATGCGGTTTTTAAAAATTACGTTTTATTCAGTGTGTGTGTGTGAGTGTGTGTGAGTGTGTGTGAGAGAGTATGTGTATGAGTGTGTGAGAGAGTATGTGTGTGAGTATGTGTGAGTGTGTAAGAGTGTGTGTGTGTGCGTGTGTGTGTGAGTGTGTGATAGTATGTGTGTGAGTGTGTGAGTGTGTTTGTGTCTGTGTGTCTCTGTGTGTGTGTGTCTGTGTGTGTGTGTGTCTGTGTGTGTGTGTGTC